ATCCCAGCACTTGGGAGGCAGAGGCAGGCAGATCTCTGTGAGTTCAAGGCCAGCCTGGTCTACATAGTTACAGGACAGCTGGGGCTACTGGGACACCCTGTCTCAAAAATACCAAAAAAAAAATAAACTGTTGTATAAAATTACAAAAGCTAAATTAGAAAATATTTTTTAAAGATTTTTAAAAATTTTATGTGTATGAGTATTTTGTCTACATGTGTGTAGTTGTACCATATGTGTTCTGTCTGTCTGCAGAGACCAGAAGAGGGTATTGGATACCCTAGAACTGGAGTTACAGGTGTTTGTAAGTCATCTGCCTTAGGTGCTAGGAACTGAACTTGGGCCCTCTGCAAGAGCAATATATACTCTTAATTACTGAGCCAGCTCCTCCAGCCCCTCAAGATCTTTTTACAGTTCTATTTGCTACCAGCCCAAAGTCACCTAGTTTTGTGTGTTTTAAGATCAGCTAGCAAGGTTGGTGTGCTTGTAAGGCTCGTGTAAAATTTATTTTACTTAATAAAGGCTGTCAAGTCCAAAAATGGTGATGCTGACACTCCCGTTACAGTACAGTATCATAATAATTCTACTTTATTATTACTTGTTGCTCATCTCTTACTGTGCCCAATCTAATTACTCTTTATCATGGGTATGTATGCATGGGACATATAGCACATGCAGGGTCCATATACGTCCTCAGCCTCAGGCATTTAGTGGGAGATATTGAAACATATCCTAGAGTAACAGGGGGCTACTTGGTAATAGACTTATCATAAGCTCAGGACAGACTTGTTATCAGTTCTCGGGCAAAGAGGGGGAGGCCAATGATCAAAGCCTCACTCTGCAGCCCTGCCCAGCACCCACCTTCACACTCATTGTGCTGTTCCCACGTTGCTGGTCGCCAGCGCCTCTGATTGTAGCCCACACAGCAGCTGTTGCATGTTGCCCCACAGGTGTGGTGTTGGCATTCACATCGGAACCTGAGCATGTAGGCAAAGCAAACCATAATAATTGAAAAGGTTTTTGGGTTTTTGTTGTTGTTGTTGTTGTTTATAGCAGGGTCTTGAGGTTGAGGCAATCTTCCCATCTTTGCCTCCTGGGGGTGAAAAGTTATTTTGTTTTGGTTGATGATTTTTGTTTATTTGGTTTGGGTGTTTTGGGTTCTGTTTTGTTTTGCTGGGGACAGGGTCTCATTTATTCCAGGCTGATCTTGAACTCACTATATATCCAAGAAAGACTTTGGACTTCTGAGCCTCCTGTCTCCACCTCCCAAGTACTGGGATTCCAGGTATGTACCACCATACCTGGTTCATCTGGGGCTGGGTTTATGAGGTACTGGGTTTTTAGGGTGCTAGCTTTATGCAGTTCTGGGTTTATGCAATTCTGGGATTGTGCATGCTGGATTTATGAGGTCCTCCCTGGGTTTTAGAGATGATGGGTTTATGAAGTGTTGGGTTTATGAAGTGTCGGGTTTATGTAGTGCTGAGTTTGTAGTGAGTTTATGGGGTGCTGGAGATCGAATCCAGGGCTTCATGCTTGTTAAGCAAGCACTCTACCAACTGAGTTACATCCTCAACCCCCAGGGAAAAGTTTTGACCCAGATTAGTTTTTTCTGCTTGTCTAGCATGCAGGGCTCTGAGTTCAATCCCCAGCATCAAAAAGAACTAAAAAGTCAGCTGTTCCCGTACACACACACAAAAAACTGATACATGTGCAGCTATGGGGTCATCCTTGGAATGTTTTGGAGCAATTATGAGAACAAAGCACGTTGCATACATTAAGTCAAGTCCCACACCCCATCCAACTCACCATCTCCACTGTACAGATGCTGAAACTAAGATGCAAAGATATTAAGATACTTGACAGGATCAAGTGATAATAACAAAGAACTGAAGAATTTCAAGCCTGAGTTTGACCCTGAATCCCCAGCTCTTTCTCCTCTACCCATCATATCATAATAACTCAACATCACTAGGAATGACAGCTCACACTTGTAATCACAGCAGCGTAGAGGATGAAGGACTACAGGAAACTCAAGGCTGGTCTGGGGCATAGGAAGTCCCAACCTAGCCTGGGCAATCAGGTGCTAAGTTTCCTGAGATGTGTTAAGTATCACAACCTAACCAAACTCTGGAATGGTCCTGGGGAAAAGGCTGCTCAAGTTTGGTACTTTCACCCTGTACTCAAGCACAGAGATTTGCTGATCAGGAGGCACCCCTGAAAAGCTCCCTGAGCACTTGGCTCACACAGGCTGCCCCAGCTCCATCACAGGGCCCACTGCTGCGATCACTGGGCAAAGCAAAGGTGTTAAAAATGAAAGTCTCATAGCTATCTTCAAATATTTCTAAATAAAAGTGATGCTTGGCGCCATGGCATTGGAATAAACCCCAAGCTTGAGTTGCCATTTATCTATGTTGACAGAAGGCTCAAAGCTGTGTCCCGAAGATTCCTGGTCTGTGAGCACTCCCTCTACTCTTTCCTGAGAGGTGGTAGGTGGGGTGGCATGCCTCCAGTCAAACTCCCAGGAGAAGTGTCATCTGGTCCCTGCTCTTAGCCTGTGAAGGCACAGAGACAAGGATTTAACTGGCATCATGTGACAGCTGGAGGCCAAATGGGCTCTTGTCAGAGAGGCAGTTTCAGCTCACAGCCAGTGGATATTTAGGGAACATTGCTTGAAGAATGTGTGGTCCAACCATACTCATGGGGAAATTAAAATTGAGCACAGCACAGAAAGGAGCTGAGGGCGTATCCGAATCATACTGACACCCCCCAAGTCACTGCCTCTCTCCATCCTCAGCCCGGGCTAAAGGTGACTTAGAATATTTATCCTAGCTTGTGTTGCAAAAATGTTTCAGAGGTCATTGATGACAGATCCCTTTTCATGACAACCTCCTCACCCACCTCTATAGAAAAAAAAATCTTACCTAATTCTAATATCTACAATCATGTTTCTCCTAAGCAACTGACCTTCTTATGTTATGACATAGTTAAATAAGAAACTGAGCAGATTTGTCTTGTTTAGTTGCCTGCTAGGATGTCCAGAATTAAATGGGTGATCCCCCATCTACCTATGCATCCAGTTCAGAATGATGAACTCCTTTGGTTAAAACTGTATTCTGCGTAGCAACTAACTTTATCAATTGTCCAACTTTGGCTTCCTCCCTTGAGTCTTGAGTCTTTAATGACAATCACAAAGGCTTTCTGGGGGAAGGAGGGTTCATAATAAGCTAGGCCCCTGTCTGTGTTCCCACTTTCTCTTCTACCTTGAGGTAAGAAACTGTCAAACATGATAGAGACCCCAAACTAAATAAATGCAAAATCAAATTGTAAGGAAAAAATATTTGTGGCTGCCTAGGGCATGGTCTTAGGTTTGGAGATTTGGTAGGTCCATTATAGTTTATCCATAGGGCACTGTGATTGATTAGTCGTGTCTGCCATAAATCCGCTGGAGGCGTGTGGAAGGAAGCAGGGTGTACTTACAGTTTTTCAGGATTGTCAGCATTGCACACGTCAGCGTGGCCATTGCAAACACAGCGCCCACCAATGCTGATGTCTTTTATGCTGTAATAATACTGCATGAGAGAAAATAGAATATGCTGACTTGACTGCACTGCAGAATGTTCTCTTGCTCACTTTTCACCCACAGATGTGTTGACATGGCTTTTCTTTTATCCTCACGTCATTTCTCCTTCCTGACCTTAATACAACGGAAGCCATGTTTGCCTATGACTTCTCTTACAGAATAAATGCATTCCACAATCAAGTTTGAGATTATATTTTAAATTATGCATATGTGTGTCTATGTGGGAGGATGTATAAATGGATGCAGGTGAACTCAGAAGCCAAAAGTGTAGGGTCCCCCTGAGGCTGGAGTTACAGGCAGTTGTAATCAGTTCAGTGTGAATGCTGGGAACCAAACTCAGGTCCTCTGCAAGAGTAGTATGCACTCTTAACCCCTGAACCATCTTGCCAACCCTCTCAAGTTCAACTGTTTTATTTTCAAAAATAAATCTGCACTAGGGGCTGAGTGTGGTGGCACACCTTTAATCCCAGCACTTGGGAGGCAGAGGCAGGTGGATCTTTGTGAGTTTGAGGCCAGCCTGGTCTACATAGTGAGTTCCAGGACAGCTGGGGCTACAGGGAGATCCTGTCTCAAAAAGACCAAAAAAATTTTTTAATTAAAAAAAATAAACAAACTTGCACTCACATGCATGTAGACAATATACTCATATACATAAAATAAAAATAATTTTTAAAAACCCTGAATTTATCCATTCTCAAAAATTCAAATGCTTTAAATGCATGGAAGATAATCACCTTTGGGAAAAAAATCACACGTATAGCCTACTGGAATGAGATTATTTAAGTGTTTCAAAGTGTTTGATTGTCAATATATTGAGCATATTTATTTTGCAAAAATATATTTTGCACTTACTATATGCAAACTTCCCCTATATATTATAGAAGGGGGACAACATTTACAATGATGGGTCAGATGTATCTGGGGCTTATACCTTCCTTCCTAGCTCAGGGTCAAAAAGGCTAAAGTTAAGAATTCAAGCTCCAAAAGAGCAGGCAGAGCTGGCTGCACACCCAGGAGAGAACTGATCCTCAAACCCACTGTTACCCCCTCCCCCCCACCCACAGGCATGGGCCTCCTCCTGGACGAGATGCTTCTCTGGTACATTGGCGGCCTCTCCACATGACAGGAGCTGGCGCTTCCTTAGTTCTCACAATTTGCAGGAGATTCCACAGGATGCTGAAGGAATGTGAGAGTGTGAAGCAGTCTTTCTCCCCGAGCTCTGTTGCTTGTCAGAGCACTCATCAGCAAGGAAGTCTTCAAACTCACAAGGACAAAAGGGTCTCTATATTTCTTTTGTTGTTAAACGTCACCCTCTTCAGAAGCCCTAATCATTCAATGTTAGGGTTCAGGTCACGTTCCCTGATTAACACTGTTCTAGTGTCAGAGCTTCCTGACAGCATGCCTTACGCAGTCAAAGGCATTAATATATTTTCTAAATAATACTGGTAAAAACTCGTGTTGCCAGAGCTTTTTATGATGTAACACTGTGAGGCTCTGTTGACCACATAGAAGTTTCTTTTCATGTGTGTTAAAGGAGGCAGCAGCTAGAGAGAGAAGCATACAATCACGGGACTCATAAGATAGGCCAGCTGGTGCTACATTCCTTCACTAGAGAGGCAATTTAGGCTGGCGGTAGGGGTGGTAGGATGGCATAGGTGGTACACTCCTTAAAAAGTAACTTAATATGGGCTGGAGAGGTGGCTCAGCGGATAAGAGCGCTGACTGCTCTTGCAGAGGACCTGGGTTCGCATCCCAGCTCCCACATGGTGGTTAACAACCATCCATAACCACAGTTCCAGGGGACCCGACACCCTCTTCTGACCACAGGCATTGCACAACACAGGTGCACTTATATACATGCAGGCAATATACTCGCACACATACACATACAATAAAAATAATAAAAAGTTACTTAATAGAAGGTGGGGGCACCAATCTGACACCTGATTGTGGGAGATGTGGGGGATCTCCAACACAGTGGAGAGTACCAGTGCTCATGGCTGTCTATGTTCTCCTCTCCTAGATTACATTACTCAACCTCCTTATCCCTAGATGGGGCTGTATGAGAACCAGATCTCAGTGGTACTGTCCTCTGGCTAGGAGCAGGTGGGTTTTCTCTTCACTCTCTTCATCTGCTAAACTGATGCTGGGGTCAAAGAGAGGACTCAGGTACTGCAGAAAAGAAAAGTCTGGTGCCCTGAGTGACCCCATGGAGCTGATCTCGCCTGCTGACTCACACTGGACTGTGACATGAGCAAGAAACAAATCTTTGTTTTGCTAAACCTCTGAGGTTTGGGGACTGATGACTGTAACAACAGTTATAACATCTATACCAATACCAGGCAGACTATAATCTTTTACCGTTTATCTTCTTTAAATATAACAATTTTTCCTTCCTTGGGGTTGAACCCAGGGGCCGCAAGCCTGTAGGCAAGCATTCTACCACTGAGTTAGAACCCCAGTCTTTTTTTACATTTTTATTTTTGAGACAGTGTTTTGCTAAGTTGCCCAGGTTGACTTTAGACTCAGTCTGTAGTCCAAGCAGGCCTTGAGCTTATGACCCTCCTGCCTCAGCCTCCTTAGTAGCTGGGATCACAGGCCTGCACCACTAAGTCTGGTTAATGTTTTTTCAAATAGCCTAAATCCTAAATATATCTAGTATTTCAGACAAGAATAACCCCCATGCCTATCGCATCATTGGCTATAAAAGTTACTTAGAAGAGTTCAACATAAAGCATTTAATAAGCAAAATAAACAAAATTAAATGCAGATGTCTAGGTATCTACAAGGTATCACTCACCCGCCGAGTGACGGTGGGGTCTCGCTGTGCCTTGGAGATGAGATGCCCAAGGAGGGTGTTGGTACGAAGAAAGCGCAAGCGGATGTTTGTTGCCTTGGTAAACTCCCTCAGGGTGTCAGAGAAAGTAAAATTTTTTGCACCTGGACGGCCATTTACCAAGGACACCACAACCTAAAATAATCACATACATGAAAGGGTAGAAAAGGCCTTTCTTTCATCAAAATTTAGCAGCAAGTAATTAAAAATAGCACATGTCCCCCAACAAAGCTTTTGGTTCTCACAGGAACCATTAGATGTGTACATATGGTCTTGGCTCTTGTTTATGTCCTCTCTCTCTGTCTGTCTCTCTCTGTCTCTGTGTATGTGTGTGTGTGTGTGTGTGTGTGTGTGTGGTGTGGTATATGCATGAATGCATGTGCCCATGAGTACAAAGGTGGAAGCCACAGGTTGACATCAGGTGTCTTCCTCAATCACACTCCACCTTATTCTTTGAGACAGGGCTCTTGTTGAACCTGGAGTTCACCATTTCAGCTGGGCAGGCTGGCCGGCCAGTGAGCTCCCTAGGATCCACTTGTCTGTGTTCCCCCAGTACTGGGATTAAAGACACGCACTGTGGTGCTCAGCTTTTTATGTGGGTCCCAAGTAATCCTAACTCAGGTCCTCATGGCTATACAGCAAGCACTTTATCAACTGAGCTATCTCCCCAGCCCTGGAACTGGTTTATTTCTAAGAACATCACAGCTACCTGCATCCCCATCCCACTTCCAAGGTTTAGCAATAGGTCCTTGAAAACTGGACCCTCAAAAGATGTTCCATTCTCAAACCTTTGTTCTGTCAGTATAGTTTATAGGGCTGTAACACTATGAAATATTGAAGAGATAATGTCAATCCTACAAATATAAAGAAATAACTTTGTAAAGCTGCATCAAGGAAACCAAGCTGAAGTAATCAAAATGTCTAAATGACATTGAAAATGTCAATGAAAGGGAAAAAAATCATCATAAAACCTAGGTTTTGTTTTCTTGCCTGAGTTGATAAATCCCAAGTCTCAAGCATTTGAAACATGAACTCCTCACCAGTTGTTGAAAGAAACTGGCCAGAACTGCTCAAGAAAGATCTCACTGCCCAGTGAGCAAAGAGCCGGTTTGGAATGCAGTTCACATTCCTGTGGCCTCAGCAGTCCCACGGAATTCTCTGATGTCCCCACCCACCCCCATATGTCCACCTCCCTAACAAACACCAGACTGACTTCCCAACAGTGCCACTTGCAGCTCCAAGGGCATAGAAATGTTTTCCTCCCTAACAGCTGCCCCTCACCCCATCAAATGGGATACTGCTACCTGTCCCTGTCTCCTCACTGTGACTGGGGAAGATGATGAAGAGGAGAGTGGGGTCATCACTTTAGTTACCAGTGACCAACTACTTTCTAAATCTATCAACAGAAAGGAAGGTTCAAGACAGGTAGACCTTGGATTAAAACAAAAAAACAATCCTGGCATCCTGGGCTGAATTTAAGGTTCCAAACAGAATTTCCAACTCAACTCATTCTCAAGTTCTTGGTGTGAATCCATTACCATTTACTCCAAAGTACTGGTTTCCACCTTGAAACATGTTGGATCTCTTTGAAAGTGTGATATTCACAATTGTAAACAATTCTATACCCTCATATTCACTCCTGAGTCTTACCTCTGACAACTTCCCAAAACTACTTACCTCGCCATTTTCCAGAGGTACAATACGGGAATATTCGGTAATACAGAGTACCTCATCATCCCGCGTGATGGCCACATTTGCTTCTTGCCCAAATTGTTCTAAACAGTCTCTTCTAGAATCTATGGAGAAAATTTTTAATATTATCAAATAAAATATAATTTTTATATCTTTTTCTTTTAACTTTTACAAAAAGTTTATTGAGAATTTCATACATGCATATAAGGTGTTTTGATCAAATCTATGCCCACTGCCCCCCTACACCTCCCATATCTCCCCATAATTTTTTTTTCTTCTTTTATTTATTTTTTGGTCCTTTTGGCTACTCTA